AGGATGTGGGATTTTCCATCTGGTGTTTATTGTTAAATACTTTTACTAAATGGATGTAAAACAAAGAAATGCTGAAATTATGAGATGTTAAGGTAAAGGATGTCTGTGCCTTTGGATTGAGAAAATATACGACTGATAAGAATTTCAAGCTACTTTCATCCCTATTTATGTATAAATACCAGAGCTAGACCGATACCTCAGCCAACTGCTCACTTTCACAGATTTTGACTGGTTTGTGAACAATATTTGAAAGAAATTGTTATATTGTGTATGTGGAAAAAGTTTAAGATCTTTGAGTTTGTCTCATTAAAAAATGGGAGCAAAACCAAAAGTGTTGCGTTTATTTATTTTTCTTGGGTGTACTATTCTTGCTATTAAATCATCTAACACATAGTGTTAACATTTTGATGGCTGCCGTGCTGAGGATGGGGAAGAATAGACCTCCTGCCCCCTGAGGCGCCCAGTGGTCAGTAGAGAGGAAAAGGAAGAAGCCAACTATGAAGGACTAAAACTGCTTCATGGGGGGAGTTGACGTTTTTTACCAGCTGATTGGATCTTTTTCCTCATGTGGAAAGAGCAGGAAGTTGTATCTGGCACTGCTGCATTACTTTGTGACTTAGTCGACATTGCTATAATAAACGGCTACCTGTTGCACAAGGAGCTCTGTGGCGGACTGAATCAGCAGCTGCTGACCCACCAGGCTTTCAGGAGCAGTCCACAACAAGTACTAGAGGCCTGTCAGCAAATCCCTGTGGCCTATGCTGAACTAACATCAGTTTCCAAGAATGCCACACAGGGATGCATGTAGTGCAGGGTGTGTAGGAAATGCCCTCGCTTCATGTGTGGGGCGTGTAAAAGGATGTGATAGTGAACAGGAACTGTCATAAGGTCCATCACTGCTCCTCCGATCAGATTTAAAACTCATCTTTACTGTAAATATGTTCTCATAGATCTGGTTTAATCTGTTCCTGTCCTGTTTTTTGCATTCTCCTTTTTGTATCTTGATAAAGAATATTATCTTAATTGCTGTTTATCTGTCCTAAATACGGGAACAAATATATATTTTTTTGTTGTTGTTCATAACACTTTATTATTTGAACATTGTCTTTAAAACCTTTAAGTGTGTTTTTTATGTATCTGTTACACTTAAAGATTTGATTTCACTACTTTAAACAGCTAATTGTGAAGTATATATTTTTTTTTTCTCAAATAGATCACAATGTGCATATGTTTCTGTTTTTATCTGTTAGAACAGTTGGTGTATTTCAAAGATGAAGTTTTGAGCGTTCTCAAAATAAGTTGAGAAAGTTTAAATAATTTTGCTCAACTTTGTTACAGTGCAATTTTTGAGACATTGAAGGGTTTTATTTAGTTAAAAAACACTTCTTTCACAAACATTTGGAATGTAAGGGTTGTTAAGGATATTTTACAAATTGAAATGCTTCACAAAATAGCTTTATATTATGTGAAATGTAAAAATATGGTATGGTGAATTTGTGCTATGGTAGGCCATGAAGGGATAAAGTTGGTCATTTTAGTGATTTTTTTTTTTTTTTTTTTAAGTAGATACTTTTTTTTTGGTGCAATATTTAATGAACTTGTTGACTTTTCTTTGTTAAACTTTTGAAAAGGTTGGATGGGGAACCACTGCATTAGTGTGTTTAGCAGCCATGCATTTAGATTACGTGAAGCGCATGCATTGCCACTCCCTCCTTTTGCCATCAGTTGTTAATGATTAGTTTGTTAATAAAAATGTTTTATCTTTTTACTTAAGACTCATGTAACATTTGCTAGCTCTGTGTCATTTCAATTATATAAATGCAGGAAGAATGTGATCGGCTATAGGAATCGGCCAAAAAATATCGGCAGCAAGTATCAGGGATCGGTTTGACTGATATCAAAATAATCAGTGTTTGCTTAAGTAAAAAAAAAAAACATGCATTGGTCTATCTCTAAATCAATTATTCCATTAGAATGCACTAGATTTTTGCTGTTAAAA